GGCTTGCCTCAACTCAACTGGTCCTGACTTGCTAGTCCTCGATCTCACGTGCGGTGTCCCTGATGCATCTTCTTGGCTGCTCGTCTCTGTCGTCATCCTCATCCTAGTCCTAGGTAAATCCGTCCGTCCTCGACATCCACACGTCCTCGAAGGTCTCGCACAGGTCCTCCTTGACTTCGGATTCGTCCAGACTTCCTCGTAGTCCTCGTCCAAGCCTAACTCGGCGGCTTACTCGCCCAATGCACGTCTCCGCAGATCTCGTCCAGGTCCTTCTCGGCTGCGCAATCGTACAGACGTCCTCGTATTCTTCGTCAGGATCTACGGGCGTCCGACAAGAAGCGTCCTCTTCGTCATCTCAGGGCGGCTGATACCTGCGCTGACGAGCTCCTGGTGTTTGACTGGATCTGCGGAGTCCAGGCAGGCGGCGCCCGTCCACAGCATCATGGGGCGATTGGTACCTGCGCTGGAGAGTTCCTGGTCCGTCGCTGGATCTACGGGCGTCCGGGCAGGCGGCGCCCTTCCACATCCTGGGGCGGCTTGATACCTGCTCTGACGAACATCCTGGTCTCCAGGCTTCTGGCGATCTTCTGGTGACATTTTTCCATAGCATCCGAAGGTGATCGTTTCTGCAGCAGGGCCTCCTTCGGTGCTGTGTCAGAAATAGTGAACCAGATTATACACATAAGGGCCAAGATAGTAAGAGAAAGAAAGACAACAGAGAAGATTTTTTTTGTTTGTTTTACGTTCACAAAGTTAGAGAATTCAACTGTCAAGAGATAGAGACGGGGGAACATGGTTAGGGAGAAAATTGTAATAGTCAGCAAGGACTTGCTTGAGTTGCAATTGTCTCAGGAAAGATAGAGGTGAGAATCTACAAGAGATAAACATTGTGCATAACTATAAGGAAGGAAAGTTGTCGCGTCCGCAAGGACTATCTTGAATGACAAACTTCCTTAGAGAAAGAAAGATGCAACAATGCGAAGGTCGACAGTAAGCTGTGCGAGAGTGAGTGACTTCACACAGAGAGGAAATGTAGCCAAACACGGAGATTAAAGTTCATTTTAACAACATTGCGACTAACTAGTTATAGACGTAATACAAAATTATTTCAACCACCACATTGAATTTAACAATTAAAGATATATGACAGAATGACGCAGTAATGAATGGTGACAGAATGACGCAGTAAAGAATGGTGACGTGAAAAATATTTGCAAGCTTTTTCGCGAGCGAATCTTCTCGGTGACAATTTGCCAAGGTAAATGTCTAATTGTGCATGCCGACTTCATTGACGGGGGATCTGTACCCAAAAATACCGTACTTTACGAAGCGAAACGAGCTGGGAAAATGTATCAATAATCCACTCTATCTGCAGATCTATGATGGGCGCTCATGAAATGCCCTACAGGGATTTATCATGAATCACAAATCGATGGGATTAACCCAAACTTGCCAGCGGCGTGTAAAAGTGTGTGTAGGGTGTGATTAATAAGTGAATCATGAATCAAGCTTAAATCCTAGTTCTACTTTAGTTTTACGGACGTAAATTGTGGGTTACACCGGCTCAAAATTTGCCGAGCGTATGAATTACTTCGGTTACTTACACCTACTATCATTACGTCAAAACGCTGGTCAACCCCAGGGTAATCAGACACTCTGACATGGGGAAGAATCCCTGGCGCTATACTCAAAATTATAAATGTATACGAATCGCGTCAGGTCAGGTCAAGACGGGAAATGGTCAGTGAGAAGGGGAATAATGAGTGATGTTCATGAAAACATTCAAATCACGGACGAGCTAAATCCGTTGCAGTTGAAACAATATAACTCCCTAATCACGAGAAAATTTTAATAAATACTTAATTAATGATCGCGGTATGGAGTCAAATGCCTCCATACCGCGATCACACAGTAATGAGATGTGAAGTCAGTTCGTACCATTTGCTACCAATTAGCACTTTAACCAAAATCCTACGTGAGCGTGACTTCACATACGGCTTAACATATTTATGGGAGAAGATGGAGAAAGAAAGAAAAAGGGCCCAAAATGTGTACTCACGGGTTTGAAGATGTCATAATGGTAACGATTGGTTCGAGCGGGAAACCAACTGTATGAGCCCTCGTGCGAGCTTAAAAGACGCACGACCACCTCTGCCACCAGAATGTAAAGGCTATCAATTGACCCTTAACATTGGTTGCAGGAGTACTGATAGCGGTTACTCGGTTGACTCTTTATTTTTTAAGAGTACAATGACACAGAGATAAACACACTAGACAATCTTGGAAATAAGCGCGGGTAGCAGTAAGGTTGGTGGTCAGCCACTGAACTGAACTGAACAAGCGCGGGGTACTGACTCTCTCTGACCGGGATAAGGATAAGTCTAATATACGAAGCTGAGCCTCGCCCAGGCTATGAAGGGAGCCCGGCTTGTGTCGACTAATGTCGACTCACTAACAGTGTGTCAGATAGTGCTGTCTCTCTCTCCCTCTCCCCCCCCCTCTCGCTCTCCCTCCCCCCTCTCTCGCTCTCCCTCCCCCCCTCTCTCGCTCTCCCTCCCCCCCTCTCTCGCTCTCCCTCCCCCCTCTTTCGCTCTCCCTCCCCCCTCTTTCGCTCTCCCTCCCCCCTCTTTCGCTCTCCCTCCCCCCTCTTGCGCTCTCTCTCTCTCTCCCCTCTCTCTCTCACCTTCCCCCCCTCTCTCTCTCTCCCCCTCTCCAACCCTCTCTCTCCCTCCCCCTTTCTCCCCCCCTCACTCTCTCCCTCCCCCTTTCTCTCTCTCTGTCTCTGCCCTCTCTATTTCTCTCCCCCCCCCCTCTCTCTCTCTCTCTCTCTCTCTCTCTCTCTCTCTCTCTCTCTCTCTCTCTCTCTCTCTCTCTCTCTCTCTCTCTCTCTCTGTCCCTCTTTCCTTCTTCTTCCTTTCCTTTCCTTTCCTTTTATTTCTTTTCCTCCTGCTCTTTCTCCTTCTCATACTTCTCATGTTTATCCTTTTACTTCACCTTCCTTCTCTTTCTCATTCTCTTTCTCTTTCTTTTCCTCCTTCTCCTTTCTCTTCTCCTTGTCAGTCTTCTCATTTTTACTTTGTTCTTTTTCTCCTTCTTCTCTTTCTCTTTCACTTCATCTTCCTCCTGCTCCTTCTTCTCTTTCTTCAATAATGTTTTCATTAATTTCTCTCTTCCTTTTAAACTGAAATCTCATGCAACAGATTGGTTAACTGATTTACTGGTCTTCTGCCTGCAGGTGAAAAGGAACTGTGTAATAGACTATTTGTGCCTGTAACTCTGCACAAACAGGGACTGATTAAGGTCAGCGGGACACTCGGTGGCCAGAAGGTTGATTATCAGAAGCCCATATTATTTGCTACTGGCATCAGGAAGACTTTTATACAGACTGATAAATACATTTATAAACCGGGTCAAAATGTGCAGTTTAGGATTCTTACAGTGACAGGACCCTTCTTGAAAATATCAAAAGAAAGTGTAAGTAAATTATCAAGAATATTTTAAGATATTTCAAATAGTAGCTGACAAGATATATGCTTATTGTGATAATAGGATTAAGCCATGTTTAGAATTGATAATCAGTTTGTGTTGTTGAAAAGTTTCACAACTAGACACGAGATAAACATTAACTAGTTAACAATGTACATAGTTATTTATATGCAATTTGCAATATATTTTTCTTGCAGTATCCTCTGATATGGGTAGAGACACCATCGTCAAGCCGTATTGCCCAGTGGACCAATGTGGAGAACTCGGCAGGACTTATACATCAGACATTCAAACTTGCAGATGAACCTGAAGAGGTAATAAAAAGATGTCTTTGCTGATTGATATTTCCTAAAAAAGAACATTTCAAATTTAACCTTCTTTTTCACTTAGACTTTTGTTTATAGGGAAAACAATGCTTAACCCATTGCTGCTGGATAATCTTGAGTTTTCAGGATTTTGTTTGTAATGCTGTCAGTATTGATGTTCCTATTATTGTTGTTGACATTCTATAATTATAGTGTTATTCACAATGAATAACAATTCAAAATGAAAGAAGAATCTATCTGAAAATCAAGGAAGAGAGTGAGCTAGTGATTTGACTTGTGAAATCATCAATGCATAAAGACAATAAAGAAAATGGCTTGTATTCTTACTGTTGCAGCAACAGTAGGTGAATTCATGTGGAACCAGTTTGACTAAAGCTATGCATGTCAGGTTTATTTTTTTAGATTTTGATATTAATGGAGGGGTCAGTATAAAATTTTCATT